CCATACTCCACTTGGAGGTCGTGATACTCCTGGGAGTCCTTGAAGTCCCAGACCGCCCTCTCCCGCTCGACCTCCACCATCTTGTCAAAGTTCCGAGTTCGGTCCAAAAGAGTGGACTCCAACTCCCGAACCTGTTGACGAAGGAGCTCCCTCTCCGCGGCCACCCTCGATGACTCCTCCCTATAGCGCGCTCTCTCCTCGGAAAGCCTGGCGATCTGTGCCTCCTAGTCCCGGCCGAGCTGCTCCTGGGACTCGCTCCCCTTACGAGTATGATGGAGCTCGCCCCAGGTTCGGTCGAGCTCGCCTTGGAGCTTCTGAACAATGACCCTCTGGTTGTGAGCATCGCCGGAGTGGATGTTTGTCTGGAGGGCCAATGCGTGGATGGCGGAGTTCACCTACCAACAGGAGACTGAGGTCAGAAGGCAGCAAAAGGAAGCAAAAACAAGGAGAGGGGAAGGACCACTTACCACCATACAATGAGCGGAGGCGAGCGCAGTGAGATCCCCGGGCTCCATCTCCCCCCATTTAGTGATCTCCTCGTGGCAAATCGCCCTTCGGCTCTTCCGCCTGGCCACTACATAGTCATTAATACCCTCCCAGTTCCCACTGAGAGCCGCAGGTAGGGAAACGGCTGAGAAGGACCAGGAGGAATCACCCCTTGCTGCGGGAGCTCACCCTCCTCGAGGCCAACTCCGCCCACACCTCCTTCAGATGGAGGCAGCGGAACTTCAGGCGGCGGGGAAGTGAAGTCTGGCTCCGCAGACCCGAACTCAGTACCCCCAAAGGTGGAAGTCCGGTCAGGACGCGATCTCTTCACTTTGCGCTTCTGGTTGCTTGAGAGGAGGCGGCGCGTGTCAACACCAGACATGATGGCTGCCAAAAAGATCCACAAGATATTAGTTCGGTAAGAAACAAAATGTATGTATACACAATATTGTTACAAGGCACTACGCGACCTAAAAAGGCAACCTACCTGGGCTCAAACCGGCCTGCGCGAGCTTCTCCTCAGTTAAGTAGTCCAAACAGAGGAAGCCTACCGATGCCCAGGACAACATCGTTTTCCAAGTTTCAGGGTCCAGCTCGGCCCCGGGGTCCTGGATGGCGCCCCTCCAAGAAGTTGGGAAGGGCCACCCCACGGGGTTATGGACCACAAAATAATCTCGCTTCCATACGGGAATCTTATTTGGTAGCTCATACAAGAGCTTGTAGCCGCAGCGGGGAGAGAGGTAGTAAAAACGCCTTTCCGAAGGAACTCCAGGAGCGGCATTTTTAATACAAAGAATAGAAGCAAAAATGTCAAGGTTCAAGGGGAGGCAGTACTCATAACACAAAGAAATGGTCCCAACCATGTTCCGGATAGCGTTGGGATGAAGCAGATCGATGGTAACATTAAAGTGGTTTAGCACCTCCACTATAAGGGGGTGCAGGGGAAGACGCAGGCTAGCCTCGAGCTGTTCCTGGTAAATAACTATCTCATCGGGACCATGCTCCCAAGGAAAGTTACCAGTGGGGAGACTGTAGACGAGGTCCCCGGGAAGGTGAAAATAGCGGATTAGAGACCTAAGTCTCTCCACCGTCATAGAAGAAGGACCGAAGGTGTCAGGCTCCCTCCCCCGAGAAGTGGAGGCCACATCACCGGAGGTCTCCCGAGCCTCCGGAACCTACTCCCAAGCTCTCCCGGAGCTCGAGGGAGTGTCGTCGTCCTGGTTACCGTCCCGGTAATAAGTATAGTACGGATACCCAAACATGATTGACAGTGATTGAGACTCACCGGAAAAGACGAAACGAAGTGAACGGAAGAGCTCGGGTAGGCTAGAAAGATGCGCGACCTCAGGATCCGAAGACAGCAAGATGGCATGAAAGGAAATGAGGCCTAGGGGGCCCTTCTATTTATAGTCACTACGCCCCCGAATCAACGGCCCAGATTAAGGCAGATCCGACGGTTCGTAGTCAAGCTGACCGCACGCCTTCTGAATTCCTCACGCTAAGGCAGCACTCTTAGCCCGAGGAGTGGGGGACAATTGATGGAGGATGATTTGACCCGACCTACTAAGACGATGACACGTGGATCTGACTCAGCACGAGCAACAACTCATCATCATGGCCTGACCACAGCTAAGTAACGAGTCTGTAGAGCAGCTCGCCATGTCATAGCTCACTATAGGGGGAGCTCACTACAACGCGAGCTCCAAGTCCCTCGAGCTATCGAGAAGAAGGGAATACTCCAAGGCTATTTCAGCTCGCGAGCTAGGGAAACTAGCTCACTCCAGCAAGAACTGCCCCAAAGACCGACCTTGATGAGGGTCACCTCGAAATACTCCTAAGAGCTTGCTACAAAGTAGCTCGTTGCGCAATAGGGTAGCTCGCGACGCTCTCAGGAAGCTTCTATCTGACAAGACCGCACTCGTCAAACTGCACCACATCTCTCGACTGACAGTGCAATCCCTGCCCATTTGACAATCTGCACCCACGTCTCTCGACAGATGGCGGCGTGCTTGTCCCTTCAAAACGTGTCACTCATCCAAGCGGGTAGTACATTGTAACGATCACCTACAAAACCCTGGCAGGTAACGACTGCGGCAGGAGCCCAGTAGCAGCTACGCCTGATTTGATAATAATGCCCCTATAAAAGCCCTTTTATCAAGGGGAGAATGCTCTCTCTCGAATTAGATCTGAACTTGAACTCTTACTTGCTCACGAGCTAATCTCGAGACACAGTGATCTAGCGCGACCTACACTCTTAGCCTTTTATACTCTTTTCTTCTTCCCCAGTGTTCTAACTTAAGCTTCAGAGCATTCCCACCGGGTAAATCCCCCGGGAATCCTTCACCTTCGTCTTCTCAGGTGGCGTCCGTTACCAACAAGGAGCCAGTCAACAGCTAGCTAGGAGTGCCTGGATCGTGCCGTATCAATTTTCAAATAGATGGCAACAACAAAAATACAAATAATCTACACCGTTTTCAAATAAATAAACCAAGCATTTTAAATACAAAATGTTAATAAATAAATGTTGTAATTAATAATGTTAATTACTTAATACTGTTAATAATTAAAAATATTATTAATTAATAATATTGTTCTTCAATAAATGTTGTAATTATTAATTATTGTATTTATTTAAAATACATTAATTTCTGGAAATTATCATATTTTCATAAATATATTGGTAATTTATCGGATAAAACTAATTAAATGTAATTTTCTTGTAATTACAGTTTAAAAATAATTTAACTACAGCTTAAAAATAAACTGTGAATTATATTATTGTTAATTAATAATTAGTGTTAATTAATTACTGTTAAATGTAATTAAGTGTAGTTTTCCGGTAACTAAATGTAATTTTATGCTATTTATTTCTTAAATTATAATTACTATTAATTATAGTTTAAAAATAATTAGTGTTAATTACTTTTAATTAAAAAATAATTACTGTTAATTAATAAATACATTATTTCTAAAAAGTAATATTTATTAATACTGCTTTTCAGCAAACACTGTAATTATTAAAATACTTAATTGTTAATAATATTGTAATTATTAAATTACTGTATTGTTAATAATATTGTAATTATTAAATTACTGTATTTATTGAAAAAAATTATAATTAATGTTAAATACAGTTAAAAATAATTACTGTTAATTAATACTGTATAATGCACTGTTAATTTAAAACACTGTATAATAAATATATTATACTGTATGATGCACTATTAATTAATACTATTTTTTAATAAATATTGTTAATTATTTAAAAATACTGTAATTACTAAAAATATTGTTAATTAATAAATACATTATTGTTAATAAATATAGTTAAATGTAATTTATTACAGTTTAAAAAATAATTACTGTTAATTAATAAATACAATATTTTTTTAATGTACTTATAGTAATTTATTAAAATACTGTAATTATCAAAATACTGTTAATTATTAAAATAATTTAGTTATATTTTTCAAATACTGTTAATGAATAACATACCGTTTTTAATAAATATAATATTTTAATAAATTTTGTTAATTAATAAAAATACTGTAATTATAAAATATACAGTATTTGTTAAAAATATTGTAATTACTGAAAACACTGCATTTATTAAAAATACGGTTAACTACTTAATACTTGTAATTAGTAAAAACTATATTTAATAAATACTGTTGATTATTGTTAATTACTGTTAATGAATTAACAGTAATCAATTATGTTGTATTAACAATAATTAATTCATTAAAAGTAATTAACAGTAATTAATTATTGTTAATGTTATTCAACATTAACTTTGTTGACGTTAATTATTGTTAATGTAAATCAACATTAAATTTGTTGACGTTAATTGTTGTTAATGTTAATCAACATTAATTATTGTAATTAACCGTGTAATGCATGGTTGGTGCGAACCGTCCGTAACACGATTCAGGTTCGGACGTACCCGATATTCTATCGAAAACGGGTCGCGAAAAAATGCGTTTTCGTTGTCTTCTTCACCCAATTGTTGGAACGGGTTCTGCGACAACCCGGTTAATTTTTTTCTATTTTTTATTTCTTTTTTTTGCTGTTTTCTCTACTTTTTAACGAGTTGATTTTATTTTTGATACTCAGCATCAGAACAACACTTAATTAATAATGCACCCAATAATGCAAAAAATATAAAAAAACCTAATCAAATCTGTTTTTCGCAAAAAAAACAACAAAAAAACACCTAATTCGTACCTGGTCTGAGCAAGCAAAATAATGCTGACATACTTTTCCAAGCTAAATCACGTATGCTCGAGTGAATTCGAATCTGAGACCTAAATAAAGTCAGATTGAAAAAAAGACATGGCAGGGCATATATATATATATATACACACCCAAACCGAGCACCGAGAAGAGAGACATCGCATTCAGATTCGACATCAGACAGACACCACCTGTTAAGAGGAAACAAGAATCGCAACATCGCATTCCGGAGATTCTACGTACCAGCAAATTACTAATAGAATTTTCCAGGCAATCAAGGATCTAGAAACAGCAAAATGATAACAAGCTATCAAATACTTCTGTCTGCCTATTATCTCGGGCAATGCATTAACTATTCAAATTGAGGGCCCTTGAAATGGGAATTTCTACATCCTAACCACAAACAGGAAAGCACCCAACGAAAAAGGAACCCCATCATAAAATCAGCTCCCACCTGAGCCTTTTACAGCCTTCTCTGACATGTACAAAATAGGAAGGCCTCTGCAAGCTTTTTCTACTCGAAATAAAATTTCTGGTCTACTAAATACAAAATTTCTGCAGGGACAGTGAGACGTCCTAAATGCAGACTAAAATGTATGACCATAGTTGGAACCCAATTGCAAGGTATCTGTCAACTATTCAGTGTAGACAGCATGCCCCCAGTCTTATTTGCTATCACCACCTCCCAACCAGGGCCTTTAAGGGGATAAGCATCACCAACAGATGAGTCGTCTCCAATCAGGTCACTCCGGTCCAATACCCTCTGAAGATTTTCATCACTGATGTCTGTTTGAATCATCTTATCTTCAGCATCTTCTTCATCCCGCAAAAGAGCCAATAGATCTTCCTGAAATATATGCAATTGTGTCACCATTACCAAAAAGGTCACCTGTGATGCAATTGTGTTACCATTACCGAAATATATGCAATAGACCACAGCCTCATTTCAGAATAGATCTGGCAAATTACATATTGCTTTGGTAACTTGTCACCTGTGATGGAGATATCATAGCAAATTTTGATGATTTATCAACCAATTATTACCATTTACTGCTCTTGTAAATGAAATCAAATAGATGTAGTGTTTGTGATAGGTTTTAGAACTTCAGATACGAGTGTGAACTATGATGCAAACGTCAACCACTTCCAGAACTGCTTCGATTGATCATAATAGTTGACTGGAAACCAAATTCTATAATCACCAACAGAAACTAACCTGATTCTAACCATGAATTAAAAGATAACAAATTACCATTAATTCAATTTCTCAATTAGGTCCCTTTTTCAACCCATTGAATAGAAGATGTCAACCTCTCCATGTTGGTGTCATCCACTTTAAATATTAAGTTAATAATTTATGGTAAACCAAATCTATTGTTTGTAATGAACACTTTCTATGTTTAGTAAATTCATTTCTCCTTTTTCAGAAAGGTTTAGATTATTCTAGAATCGAGGAAGCTTATGTTCTTCCCTTTGCACCGGTTACAGAATGGGTATCAAAGTATAGTTCACTTATAAACAAACATCTTATTAGATAAGTCTTAAGAGTTGGATACTTCATTTTACAAGGACCCTGACATACGATGTTTCTTATTAACCCATTAGATTGGTGTCAGAGGGGAGCCATGTTAATATATGGTAGGGAATGAGTGACACATAGAACACAGTAGGGCATATAATCCCTTGAGAATCTTTAGACCCAGATTATAATGGATAGGAATCACAACAGAAATACAAACCTCAAAGACCTCCAAAGGATTAGACTTGGTTCTTTCTTGTTGGAACTGCCCTTTCCCAATAACCACATGTTCAAGCTTCAGCTTACCAAAAGCTCTCTTCAGTATACGACCCTGGAACAAGAAATACCCTCAGCATCTTCCACAAAGATCTGAAAATAAGTATAGAAACCATTAAAAAAAGTCCAAGGATGACGTACTTCTACTGATTGGGCTGTCGCAAGTCTGTAGACATGAACAGGACGGGTTTGCCCAATCCTGTGGCATCTATCCATGGCCTGCAAATCCATTTGAGGGTTCTGGATAGCACATTCAATATCCTAAGTTAGTTCAATACACAGAAATCCCAATAGCTAGAAGATTATGCAAGAAAATGGCTTTACCCAATCACTATCATAGAGTATGCAGGTATCAGCAGCCGTGAGATTGATTCCCAGTCCACCAGCCCTGGTGCTGAGAAGAAATATTCTAACATTGCTGTTTACATCATTGAACTCCTGAATCTGTTTATGCAAATACAAAAAAAAATACCATTAAATATATGCCTTTTTTTCTTCAATATTATTTTTGTACATCAACATTAATCAGAACCATGAAGATCATGTTTTAAATGTTAAACAACAAACTGTAGGGAACTCCATGCAGAAAATTTACATGCACATAACAGGAAGAAATGGAACCAATGGTTCACCTTGTTCACAAGTTGATCAAATAATCTTAACCATTCATGTTGTTAACTTTTCCCAAAAGTTCAGTTACAGTGCCTAACCAAAGTGCAAAACTCCCAATATAGGAAAACTTCATAGAAACAGAGAAACACATGAAAGTGATCAGTGTGGCCCCCAACAGATACTATCTTTACAGCAGGATAAATTAGAAATAAGCTCAGTCCAAGGAACCAAGGAGTACCTCCAATAGATGACAGATTAATGGACCAACTGATGATTTGATCATGTGTAATATTTTTTTTATCAACATTTGATCATGCATAACAATGAGAGCACAAATTACCAGAAATATTTTTTTCTGGTAATGCTCTGATGCATGCTTAGTACTACAAGAATGTCAATTAAGAAAGAAACAAAGATCTAAAAGCAAGCAGTAAGGCCCTGGATATTATAGAATGAAGGGGCAGAATTAATTTAGTTGAGAGTAAATGGTGGTATAAGAATCTGCTGAAAACAAGCAATGTTATCAGACTCAGATGCAGTGTTTAGGAAACCAGCCCAGTTGAACCATGACCTGGGACCCTGACCAGTTCGGTCACACCCCAATAACCCAATAAGAGTTTTAGGAGGGCTTTCTAGTCTTTACAACCATAAATTTTGAGTTGCAATGATTTCTTGATCCACATTGATCAAAAAAAAAAAGATTTCTCGAGCCACCACTGACAGTACTAATGAGGAACTGCCACAACCTAACCACAGTTGACCCACTAATCACCCAGGACCCACAGTTCCTTTTGCAGGTCAACAAATGATACGAATGCTCCCGATACATCCATCTAATTCACAAATTCTTTTAAAATGATAAGAGGTACCTGTCTTTTTCTTTCATCCAGTTTCACACTGCCATCAATCCTACAAACTTCAAGCCCTTTCTCACTAAAGTAGTAGTCAATTAAATCCAAAACCTTTGTCCACTGAGAGAAGATCAGAACCTGAAATAGAACCCAAGTTGTACAGGTGAGCTAAAAGATCAAATAACATATTGAAAGGACAAAACCAAAAATATAATAAAATAAACACACTTTGTGTTTGCGAGCGAGCAGTTGCTCCAATAGTCTATCCAGCAAGCGAAATTTTCCACACTGCTCCACTAACTGTTCAATAGGTGGATACAAGTCTATAGGGGAAACAAATGAGAAAGTTGAATTATGTTGGCACTTTAGAGAACTGAATGGAGATGATACAAAGTTGCAAGATACATACACGATCCATCAAAAGCTGATTCCAAGAGATCAGGGTGATTGCAATTCTTTCGAAGTTGAACCATCAAATTGTTCAGTTTTCCTTTCATACCACGCCCTGCATTTTCATAATGTGTCCATCAGCAATAAAAGAACATCACCAGATCCCATAAAGGGGTCCAAATCACGCCATGAGCGTTTTTAATGGAAAAAACGCTAGATGCTGTATGGTAGCTATGTGTATCAATTCATATGTGTATCGGCCTGATATAATGGGATACGCCCTTGTTCGCAGCATATCCTGTATCCATACCCTCCGATACCGATACAATACAGCTGATACGGGGCATATCGTATCGATATTTTAATCCTTGCTTGTATATCCCCTGTTTCCCAACTTAAACTTTAGTCCAAGATCACATGCTTTAAAAGTTGGTTCTAGAATCTAGAACGCTTTATCTAGCCTGGAAATGACATTTTCACTTCAGCTTGCAGACCCCAATGCATGCCCAGAATCCTAATCAGCAAAGCAGTTGCCTAGCCAACCTTTGACAACTCTGGTTTTGATCCTGCAGCACTTGGAAAGGCTGCAAGTATGACCAACAGCTACCTTATATTTCCTCTCTACATAGTTATTTTCATTAAAGTCCTTCATTTTCTGGATGATGCTAATTTTTGCATGCAAAGAAAGACTCTTACTGTCATCTGCTTTCTCTTGTAAATAATTCTCCAATGTTCTATTGACCAAATGATCCTGGATGTTCTTCTGGTGTTCAGTCATGTTGACATATAAAATGATTTCCTTTTTTCGAGGAAGCATCTGCTCAACATCTGACTTCAATCTTCGAAGAAGAAATGGACGCAATATAGCATGGAGTTTTGACACAACCTGGATGTAATTGAATTTTTTCAGAACATTACACATGCAATAGACACTACAATACAAGATAGAATTTTAACACCAGTTGCAAAAAGTCATACTTGAAGTCTTCTCTTCTCATCTAGTTCTTCTTGTTCAGCTTCATTGCTGCACTTCCCTGACAGATCAAACCTAATAAATACAAAACCACATAAAAGTTAAGACAGTTTTCACACCATAGGACCAGAAGGAAAGAACTAGGAAAAACTTATGACGTTTAAATTAGTTTCAATGAATATCCTTCAGAAATTCATACAGAGCCCCAATTGTATAATAGATGGCATGCAACCAAATGAACACAGCACCAATGCCAAATGATCTTGAATTACCTAAACTACAGTGATCAAAATTAATCTTTATCAAGTCTGTGGTTGGAGGAATCTAGGTTCTTTGTCAGGTTTGATTTTCCTCTTTTTTTGATACGATAGTAGTGGTATAGTTTGGTTTTCCTCATTACATCATTAATAACATTTTTATCAGATTAATCCTTAATAACGTTCCTATTGAAGAATGTATATATAGATAAAAGCATCCATTAATGTTATACAAATATGACCTGAACATTCTTTAGTGAGATATTTGTCAAAGCATAATTGAATGATATGTGGATGCAGTTCTACTATTCTAGTTTATAATTGTTAAAAAAAGTAAAGATATTCAATTTGCATAGGAGGTAACAGTTAAAATTCATTCAAAGGTCATCAGTTATTGTCAACATAAAAGAATGAATATGAATCATAATATAGAAGAATACAATAAGAATGATATTTACCATGACTCAAACTCTTCATGTGATGAGAAAATATCAGGCAAAATGAAGTTCAATAGTGACCATAGCTCAGCCAAGTTATTTTGCAGAGGTGTTCCAGTTAGTAGAAGCTTATTCTCAACATTCAAGAACTTCAACTCTTTGATTAATTTGCAATTTGTATTTTTCAGACGATGCCCCTTCAAGAAAGGCAATTGTGGTAAGATGGAGAAACATCAAATGATTGCCACAGTTTAATGATTTAATATAGTACAAATGAAAAAAAATGAAAGAACAATAAAACCAAACATTGTGACTTGACTCCATACCTCATCAACCACAAGGTATTTCCAACTGTAATGGCTCAAATATCTTCTTGCATCATTCAAAGCAACCTCATAAGAAGTAACAATGATTGGGAATTTTGGCCCAATTGCCTTGGGCATGTACTTCTTCCTTATCTCCTGCCTTTCTTCCTTGTTGCCATGGTAAATTACCGCACTCATTGAGGGAGCAAACCTTTAAAAGAACAAAATAGATTTCCCAAAACAAAGAAATTTTGAAGTTGTATAATTAATAGGAAAATCAAGAAGTTAAGTTTACCTTGAAATTTCATTTACCCAATTAGAGAGAGTAGAAAGAGGAGCTATTACTAAGTAAGGCCCATCTAAGCCCTTCCCCTTCAAATGAGCAAGAAAACCAATGGTCTGAATCGTTTTGCCAAGCCCCATTTGATCTGCCAGGATCCCATTGAGTCCATTCTGCCATAAAGAAATCAACCATTTCACCCCTTTGATTTGGTAAGGCTTTAGTTCTCCACCAGTCAACAATGGTACAAGTTCAGCCTGCTCTTTCTCAGCTCTCTCCTCCTCAGTGAGGTTGGCATCCTCAGGAGCCATGCCTTCTTGAGATCGTGTTAGCATGGCAGCAACTGCTTTCTTGGCTTTCCTCTAAGGAGCATCACCAGAAGGAGGCATATTATTATAAGCATGTAGCAGTAACAAATGCAAATAAATTAAGAAAACCAGAGCATGAAGAATATATATGCACTGAATAGAAAGAACACAACATCACAAAAGAAACAAGTGAATAAAACTAGATAGTAACCCATTCCCTAATAAGGCTTCAGCTGCAACTGTCTTAGAGGACCAATCAAGATATAAAACAATGCCAAGGGGGGCAAATGACTGCAAACATAAGTATATGGTAGACCAAAGAACAAGAAATCTGTTTTTCCAATGTCATAACATGGATGGAAGTACTCAAACCCCATCATTCTAATGCCTAATATTATTGCTGATTCTTATTTATGAGATAGGGAAAGCAATCACTAACATCTTTATCCAGAATAAAGTTATGAATTAGTTGAGACATAAATGACTATTTGTTGACCAATTTTGAAGAAAACCATATGTGCAGTTTTGGTGATCCCAGGCGCAATTCAGATTGTTGATCAGGGAACAAGAGATGCATATTCCTGCCTGATCAATCGCCTTTTACTCTAATTATTTGACAATATTGAGAAAATAAGATTCTTCTTAGTGTATTTTCAGAATATTTTACCAAAAGATACCATATATATTCAAGTTTTAATTAACAATTAGTCAAGTTTTCTCTGTGATGGCTTTGATAATTAGTTTCTTTTATGCTTCCATTAAGCTATTATTTAGCATTTATTATTTAGCTGACTTATTTTAAGACCCTGGTTACAATAACAAGCTGTATCTGTAAGGCAGAATCCCTTATTTTTGGTTCTTTTAAAATAACCTTTTATTCTACATATTATCCAAAGCTATTGAGCATATTGTTCTATCATCTAGGTATCAAAAAGGCATCACCTGGGGCATTCTTTCCCAATGAAGGCTGAAACGCCTAGTCATTGCCTAGTAGTTTTGACTGCATTGCTCTACTCAGTTCAATGACAGCTGACTATGTCAATGTGGGAAAAAATGTCGACATCCCACTCACAACCGCCCCCTGCCCCCCCCCCCAAATATATGTATATATATATATAAAGGACAAGTAAATAAATCACCAGACAGCCTACCTTTTTCCTTCTCTATTCTCTTCAGCTTCTCATTCCTTCTCTCAGATTTCATTGATTTGAGTTACAAAACCATGATTTGCATGTCCTCACACTCACAAGAAACTTTGATGCATGTATACAATTAAAAGCATTTCTACATGTGAACAGCCACATACGTAAAAGAGGATAATGGGGAAAATGAAACAGAATATAGATCATGTTGCAACAAATATGAACGATAAATATTGCACAAATACCATAATGACAGCTTACATTGTTGTATTGACTCACTGCCTTCCTCTTTGCACCACGACCCCTTTTCTTCCCTTTGGAATTTTCTTGATTCTGATCCTCCTCTACATTCTAGGATAAGGAAATAGCATAACAATTTAAGTGGCATAAAAGAAAATGACTTAGACATAATATCTGATTCGGATAAGTGCTCAAGGAATTACAAATGTGATGTCTTCCATCTTTTCCAATAGGAACTCTGAGTATAATTGAGTCTGAGTCAGGAGCTCGTCCAATTTGGTGAACTGTGTATCATTCATTACCGGAGCCTCCCCCTCCCTTTTTTCTCTCTCATATTCCTCCTCCTTGAACCGAGCTTCCTGTAACATCTCTTCCTCCTTGGCCATTGCTCTTGATATAAGGGAAGAGTCTCCATTTTTTGCCTCAAAAGACAAAATGTCATCATCCTCTGATCCGACTCTGGCTTCCTCCTTACAAATCCCCTGTTCATTAGATAATAAAATAAATTTTAAAATAATGAGAAATAATGTAAAGTAGACACAATAAAACCAACTTGTTTTCAAGTTTAAGGGAAAGAAAGGCATGAAACCATTTAGCTACAATATTAAGAAAATGAAATATTTTGAGCTGAAACGCAAGCAAACAACCAGCATACCCTTAACAAAAACCAACAAAAAATGCGCATATGAACACAACTAGCGTAAATTCGGGTACGCACATAGAAACACAGAAACATTTATGTTGATACAACTTCTATTGAATCGAGAAAAGTGGACTTTAGAATGTTACCAACTAACTGAGACTCGATCTATTTGAAACAACTGACACTACCAAAGCAGCAGGAAAGGAAAAAAATACATGGAAACGAAATAAACAAAATTTTGAAAGAAATGCCTTGAGAAGGGAAAGCATGATAAAACCTCGTCTTCTAGCACGGAAGTCGGAGAGTCGGCAGCTCCCTCGTTCTTGGTCTCATTCTCGGCCATCATTTCGTACCGTGATTCCTGAAAGTTGACGAAACCAGAACAGTGGATAAGATCTCAGTAAACCAATACTAGACAGCAGCAGAAGAAATAGAACTGAATGTATGAACAAACTAGGGTTTTTCGCTTTGAAGTTTTTTGCTCTTACAAGAACATACAATAAATGGAAGCAAAGCTCGAATTTTCTCAACGACTAGAACGAGAGTGAGAGAAACTATGGTTCCAAAATCCAAACAAATTCTTCAACGACGGGAAGATGAAGATGCAGAGAAGGAAGCAAGTGAGACCGAGAGGGCCAAGAGAGAATAGAAAGAGGTAGAGGAGAGAGAGAATGACAAGGGACAGAAGTCTTGTAAGTGGCAGATTTGGCGGGAAAACGGAGTATTCTAAATGCCCTTTGATGTGGACAAAATTACAAATTTACAACTCAAATTCCCGGTTGAGTGGTTGTCTGGTTCCGGTAATGTACGGAAGGAATATGGTCGTAGTATTGTCGGGTCAACGAACGGACGAGACGAATAATCCATATCCATCCCATCTGTTGCTCCAAGCGGGTCGTAATCGGGTCGATACCATGCACGGCCGAGTCCAACTCCGTTTACCATCACCTTGGACCGGATCCATTCTCAAGTTTGAATCGGAGTCGTATTTGAACCGAACCCGACTTCTTGTGTTTATAATGAATAAAAAAGTTAAAAACTACTTATAAAATTAAGGCTGTATTGGTTTGCAATGTAAAACTCCATCGATGGAGTTCAACACCGATGGTTTAAAATCTCTGAACCGTTGTGCCTTGAAAAGTGTGATTGTCATGTAATACTACATCGATTTCATAGTTGATGTAAAATTCTAGTAGATCATCCAAACACCAACAAATTTAAATTGGAAGTGGAGTTTTACACAGATCTTGATTTATTACAAACAAACATCGATAAAAATAAATCGATGGTAGAGTTTTACATTGATATTGATTTACACTGCAGTCTAAAGCTGTTTCAATTGTGTTTACAGTTGAAATAGCACAATGGGAGATATTTGCATATTTCTTTCATAAATGTTGAAGGGAGGTTTTTTCCAAGCAAAAGCATGAGGGAGGTTCAACTAATTTTAGGTATAAAAAATAGCTGCAAACCTTACATAATTGTACATAATGTTTATATATACATAATTATATTACATATATATATATAATAACATTTTAATCATATTTGAACTATAGGATATCATATTGGATTAAGTCCACATCTCGTTCAGTTGTTAATTGGACCTAATTCCAAACATCCATGTTCGAGATAATTGAATTCAATGTTTAATCAAGTATAAAGATTTCAAAGTCTAATTATCACACTTCGAGTTTATCATAATTTTGGGCCTATGGCATATAGTACCAAAATTTTAATTATTTATAATATTTTAAATTTATTGGTGTATAATACATGGAATATAAGTCAAAACTAGGCCAACTTGGCTAGACTTTGGATCTATAACACAAAAATTAAGGCATGACCTCTAGACTTAGAAAGTTTATAAAAGGAAAAAGTGTTAGAAAATGCAGATCCCAATAGATGTGTGAAAATGTATAGAAAAAGTAAGATTGTTATAACAAACCAAGTTATTTAAAAAGATGGTAAAAGAAAAAAAAAAAAAAAAAGATATGCTTAATGATTGGATAATAGTAGTACAATGCCTATAACAAAAGTGGCATATAATGTGCAAGTCTGATATTGAGGATGTGCATGATGGTCTCCTTGAAAGACAAAAATGGAGTAGGGCTTAGGTAAAGGTTGCATGTTAAAAGTTATGGGTGTGCCTTGGTCTTTGAGGAGATCTGGGGAATCTCTGATGATCATGATCATGATCCCTAGAGGTCGTGCTTTGTTTCCTTTTATATAGAGGATTTCAATGCTATAAGGAAAATGACCAAAAAGGAAACCTTTACTATTAGGAAAGGGGATATTTGTTCTCATGCCAGTTATTAAGGGAGCACCATTGAGGTTTCGCTACACATCCAACAAGATTATTCAATGACAAAGTTTCCTTTCTCTTAAGGATTCTCCCGTGGCACGTGTAGGCTACATCCCCTCATGGGTTCCCCAAAGGCCACATGTCAATGACAAGGTTTATGTCTGACTGGCATGTTCAAACGTCTATTTTACTCATTTTTGAGGCACCTCATCACAGCTTGTTCTGACTAGAATGGACGTCAATCACCTATAAGCGAGTGTTATTGGTATCGAGGGCTATCCACCATTCGTTACAGCATGGTTCATCATTTGACATTCATCACAAGGTGTTGGTAGTATATTGGGTTCATCTCAGACTTACAATGTCATTTTATGTCCATCGCAAGTCTCAGGTGATGCTCATTGTTCATCATAGGTCTTAGATGGCCCTTTGTGCTCATTGCATGTCATATGAGCAAGGTTCAAAGTATCGACATCAGAGCATTCCTGATACGCCCCTATAGGGGGTGTTTCGGGTTGGCAAGTGGTTCAGGGGGGTAGACAGGCCTTAAACCGGCCCCTTTAAACCAAATTCGGAAAAAAAAAGAGTACTGATATAGACCGAGATGCCCTACCAACGTATCACCCTGTATTGATACTTTGAACCTTGCCTATGAGGCATTTCATGCCCATCACAAGTCTTGGGTGGCTCTCTGTGCTCATCGCAAGTGTATGGGTAGGGGTGCAAATGGATTGGATCATGATCCGATCCGATCCTATTTGGTCGGATTCGGACTACCCTTGATTGGATCTTCGGATCGGGTGATTAAATACGATTATAAAATGGGTCGTATTCATATCACCCATATCCAATATGAGAAGATCCGATCCAATATACATTATATGCTTATAAATATAATATATAATACATATATATTATTTATTTATTTATAAATACATTTTTTATATTATATTTTTATAACTTTGTTGTATTGTTTATTTTTTTATAAATAATATAACATGTATATGTATGATGAAAATAATTAAAAAAATACTTGCATTTTTTTTGTTTTTTACTTTATTTAAATTATTATATTTTTTATATTGTAATAATTAATTAATTTTAAAGAAAACAAGTTAGATTGGATCATATCCGAATATCTAACTTATCTATATGATTCAAATTCAAATCGAGTCCTATCAGATCCAATTGAGTCTGACATGAACAATGTCGTGTTGGATCCATATATACCCTGATTCAAATTTGACCCAATCTATTTGCATCCCTATGTGTAAGCCTTCTATCATTTTGACAAAGTGTATTCATGCCATTACAAATGTGTCTGTGTCGGGATTTCTCCATGTGGTTCTCCTTTTACATTATCTTCATAGTCCCAACGATGGTAAACTATATGTACTTATACAATGTTGTACTAACTATCAACAATCAAATGAGCCACATTATAAAACTTTAGGAGAAAATAATTAAACAAATATTACAACTTGAAATAGGTGTATTAGATAACTAATTTTGTTTTTGTGCCAGGGATATCAACTATTGAGAGTTACATAAGAAAGTGGTATAGAATATGTATATAACATAATTAGGGATATATATGAAAAGGCAACAACCAGTGTTAGAATATTAGCAATAGAAACTTTAGATTTTACAATTGTGATGGATCTTCACTAAGGTTTAGTACATAATTAGGGATATATATGAAAAGGCAACAACCAGTGTTAGAATATTAGCAATATTGGCTGATTCGTGGCACCCTCTCATTTGAGAAAATGGTATCCGCATGTATGGTATGTGATCACACCTGCAATGGTATTCGAACATATGCTATATGATTAGTTTAATGATATGTGAACACGTGTCCCCCTCCTTCCCATCTCTCTACTTTGTTTCTCCCTTTTAGAGCAATCCGACCAAAACCCTAATTTTGTTCTCTTCTCCATTCCTATATCTTTGGTTTTTTTTTTGTTTATATATATTATATAGATTTGTACTCATTATTATTTTTTTTATGTTTAGATTTTATTGCAGAGATGATCAAGGCTCTTATTACAACGCTTTCAAAGCAAACGTGCTAGAAAAGAGGGTAAACTTTATAGAGGTGATCATGGCTCCAACTCTATTCGCTGCCTGCAAGCATGTTGGATTTCTTGATGGGTTCAGGCTTGGCCGTCTTCTAGAACAATTGGCTCAGATCTAGATCAACAGGGTAGGGTGCTATGAGCATCCCTAGCATTGAAGGCTTTGACCATCTTCTCGAATAGTTGGCTCAGATCCAAATCAACAAGGTAGGGCTCTATGAGCATCCTGTGGTTCACTTATTTTGCATTCTCATAATAGATTTGAACACTCTCTCTCTCTCTCTCCATCGAGCAGCTTCTGTATTTTGCTTGCCCATGGAGCACTGCCCTACATCGTTTAGATTATTGTCTTCAACCTTCATCATTGAACAACATTACCATGAATTTGTATCCAAAATTCTACACATTGTTAGAAATTTTGGCATCAAAATCCTTAGTTGATCAGGTAAACACTAATTTTGTTCAATTTTTTTATTTATTTACAATTACACGTTTAACTTGATTTGATTTACTTTACATGTATTAAGGCAACGTGTTGCCTAATATGGACACATTTTGGATGGTTTTCTCCACGACTTAAGTCTGTTATTGGCTCTATGTTGGATGGAAGCCCACATGTTGCCTAATACAGACATGTTTTTGATGGTTTTCTCCATGACCTCACTCTATTATTCGTCCTTGTCTATTGCAAATTGATAGCCTATCATTAGTTGGGACTATCGTGCCCATCGGATTAATAATAATTAATTTAATTTATTTTTCTTTTGTTATTTTCGTAGGTTTTTGTTCTCTTTCTTTCATTTATTATTTGTCTTAGTATTTTATATTTTCATTTATTTTTTATTTTGCTGGTAGCTGGCAGCTGAAGTATAGAGTTGATGGCTGACTGGTTGTAGTGATTTCATGATATCTTCTACAGCTTGTAACTCGTACACTGATGGATGGTAATAGTGAATGGATTCTCTCATATATATTGAAAGTCGTATGGTATATTTTCTTGCTTTTCATACCCTACTCATTGTTCTTCTCCCCACCTGTTCAACTTCAATAGACATTAGGTAATATCACATTCTTATTTCTGAGTCTTTATTTCTATCTACTAAGTTTTAATTGGTATGATTTGTAATTTCCTCTGTTTTAGTTGTTTTAGTTTATTCTCTTTATCCTCTATTCTGTTGAGTTTTAATTGTTTCTTCTTTATTGTAGAGGTAGTAAAATTGTTCTTGAGACAAAGTCATGGATTTTTCAGAGTAAGATTGTATTCTGTATTTTGTGGCACTATTTAGTTTGTATACA